TGGACATCTTGCCAGGGCTATCCTGGGAGACCTGGGTAGCGGTGGCAGAGCACACCAGGAAGTTGATCCCCGTGGAGAACCGGAAGCAGGCAAAGCCTGCTTTCGAGGATAAGTCGGTAAATGGGCCCTTGAACGACAGGCGACGTTTAGCGATCTGGAGTTGGAGCAGCTGAGGAGAACGGGTCGGGGGGCGCTGGCTGTGTGTGTAGGGGATTTCCATCCTCTTAGCAGCGCGCCAGGATGGCTTTCAACCTACAGGGTTTCGCAAACGGCTTCTGATCAGCACAAAGCCCTCACAGTCATGAGTGGCATCGTGTGATACCTCGTGCGATGAATGGCAATCAAGGCTATGTCTCCATGGGCGCGCTTCTCTGGATGCTTTCTGATTCTGGGATGCCGGTCAACAAGGCACAGCTTTCCCTACCTGAAGCAGCTGCGAGTGGAGTTCTTATCAAGTCTTCCCTCCGGGTTCGTCTTGTTGTGCTCTTTGCTGGAGGCCAGCGGAAGACGCGATCTGCACCTCAGAGAAACACCAAGCTTAGGTCACAGCCCGGCACGCATTTTCCCCAGTCCTGATGCGATCAGTTGGGGCGAAAATGTGAGGCGTCAATCAACTGGCAGCAAGACTGAACAGAAGAGAAGTTCTGAGATTCTGAGGTATGTGAGTTTGGACAAGGCCAGGAAAGTGGCCTTGGAGTCCGGCGTTCCCCCGGAGGCACCGGGCTGACAGGGTGTCTCTGCCTCAGCGCAGAGCTGGCAGAGCAGCTATCTGCTGCAGTCACTGCAGTGCAGGCCGTCGGCCGGCCTGGCAGCCCTCGGGTTCGCTTCTACCCCGTGGCAGCTGGCTGAGTTGGGATGGAAGCGCCACAGATCTTCCAAGTCTTATAAAGCTGAAGGGCACCTACACAGTGCAAGTATTTTCGCGCTGCTCATTGTCTGCACTCGAACTTAGGTTCATCTGGTGCGAGCCTTTCTCCGAAATCAGCAGCAGAAGACATATGAGCCTTGGATTTCACGTCCGGCGGCCTCGCATCACATGGGATTGGACTGCTAAGACTCCGATCTGCTAAGGAACGCGAGGAAGCGGCGATGAGGTCCGACCACGACCACAGACGTAAACACCTAGGGAGTGCAAGTGCACCGTAAGTAAGGGAGCTGGCAAGGAGACTTCGAGATTCACAGAATGGAGGAAAGTGATCGAATATCGGACAAGCAATAAACAGCCGATGCAAGTTGTCGCTCAGAGGATCAGCAAGAAAGCGCGGGCAGGAGGTAGACGATAAAGGTGATCAGGGCTGTGTTCCAAGTATGAAATGACAGCTTATCAGTGCTCTACAGGTCTGGATGTCGGTGAGTTGGGGAATGATTTGGTTTTTAATTCAACGTGATTAATTAGACAGAAATTCGTAAGGCCGTCTGTTGAGTCGCAAAATTCAATACGAAACTGAGACTTCGGCGGAAGCTTCGCACTTGTCTGTTGAGCTTGATTTCGGCCTCGTTGAATCGTCTGTTGAAAGCCTTGATGGTTTGCTCTGGGTTGGGAAGGTGGCGGTTGCCCTGTTTGTCCAAACTTGGCATTAGGATTGGAAAGTTCAACTTAGCCTACATGGCTCTCCTCTTGCAATCTTCGATGGCCGTGGTGAATCCTCTCCATGCCATCCTTGCCAGGGCGGTTCGCTTCTCCTCCGCCGAAATCCAGGAGCTTCGGACACTCTTCGAGAAGGAGGCGCGATGGATCCCAAGTGGTTGGCTGTAGCGAGAAGCAGGCAGCCTATGCAGCTTTGCATGCTACTGCAGGCCAAGGAGGCGCAACGAGAGCTGTGGGGGGACGAACCTCGTCCGCGAGACTTTTGGGGTGGAAAGGGCGTGTTTTTTTTCTACAGTCGGATTGCATCACGGCTGAGGAGGAGGAGGCGACCAAGCGGAGCCTGGGTTCTGTGGTGCGAATGCTCTGCAACTCGCAGCAAGTAGAACGAAGATGCTTGTTACTTCTTACTGTCTCTGACACTCGTCCCAGTTGCTCCCACGTTGTGTGTAGTCGAAATGGCCGGGCCCTGGAAGAGTGCAGGAAGGCAGCAGTGCCATTGCAGAGTGATGCACGCGACATCTCTTATGCTTGGCCTGCTAAAGGTCCCAAGGAAAGGTGCAGCATCTGCAGGACAGCAGTGAAGTGTTTCAGAACATGTGGGTTCGAGTTCTTCAAGATGCTTGTCGCTGTTTCCCAAGACACAAACACCAAGTGTGCAGCAGTTCTTAGGTCAAGAAGCTCGCGTCCCAATCAACCGCGTGATCCTCTTCACATCCCGAATCGGTGCACGGATCAAGATTTCGCAGAAAGAGGACACACAGCATCACTGGCTCCCGCAGCTCAGTTTGGCAGCAGCGAGTCGTTCGTTTGTTGAGGAGCTGTATATCAAAATCCGTGAGATAAGCGCTCTCGACACCGGAGATGTGTTGCTTGGCTCATAGAGTCATAGAGTGCCTCGTCGGCGGTTTCTCCGAAACGATCAGCCCAGGCAGCGCGGGATCGACTTCCCCAGCTTCCTGCAACTCATGCTCCTCGGCACTGTTTCGGCTACGGTTCCAATTTTTCTGGTTTTTTTTGCGTGGCAGGCAGTGGATGGTGGACTGCAATTTCGGGGACATCAACTCAGCTGCGGAGCGAGCCCTCAATAGATAAGCTCTCGGAGAGTCTGGCCAGACACACAGCCCACAGCTTTACAGCTGTGCGTATACAGCTGTTTTCAGATGCTCGGCATCTGCCGCAGTCGCTGCGCCGGCGGGGTACTTTGCCTCCTATAGGACCGTTATTTCCCACCAAGTCCAGCAGGTGAGGCCCCGTCCAAGCCGGAGGTTTCGCTAATCTGCGGATTGCTTGGTTAATTAAAAAGATCGGTCCGTTGGAGTGTCAGCCCTGCACTGGCCCCATCAGATTTTTTTCACGTGGGACAGAGGCTTCATTTTGCGCAGCCCGCGCATGCACAGGCTTCGTGTGAGGATGTGCCCTGAAGTGATAATTATACAGACAATTGAAAGAAAGAGAACGTGTAAAAGTCACGGGTTCCGAAACAAGCGCGCATTGCTGATGCTTAGCATTTCGCAGCTCAAAGCCGATCGGGGCCAGAACTTTTTCGGAAACGGAAGGAGAGAGGAAGAACTGCATTGTTCTGCCGCTGCTATGTCAAGAAGCATTCGGATTCAAGCTTAAGTTGGTACCACTCTGTAATGTGCACGTTGACGCCGGTGGATGCTGCCCGCGAGTGTTGGTTGGGCGATGAAAATTAAGTAGTTCTAGCAGAGGGAAATTGACGCAGACATAGCTTAAAACCTGCATGCATTGCCAATTGATGATGCTTTGCCGTCTTCAGTTTGCCAACTTTGACACTGTTAGGACGGACTGAACAGCAATATGGTTTGAGACTAAAGACACGGAGTAAACGAACTTGAACAGCCTGGCCTTCAACATTTCCAACTTCAACATGCCGAGGAACGAGTTTGATTTTCCAGAAAAAAAAAGGAGGAGCCTGCAAACTTGGGCAGTCACTGAACCTGGATTCTACGGTTCGTCATTTTGGTCTTGTGGAATGGGGGTAGAAATCTCACCTGTTGCCATCAGTTTTGGATATGAAGCATTTAACCACCGAACAGCATAAAGCCAGGCGCACATGAACAACTGACAAAAGCTGTGCTGCTCAACTCTTGTTTGTAGAACCATTGTGAACGACCGAACCGTCCAAATGTTAAAACACAGCAGAATCGCATGCTGTGATCATGTCGAAGCTTTGTCAAAACGGAGCACACTCGAAACCATCTAAAAGACACGTATAGAGCTCGCGTTTTCTGAAACGTTGCAACTCCCAAAAAGCCCAAGCTCTACTTACCTGCTCTGTTGGTTCTTTCCTGTGAGCGAGCTCTTCTCGCAGTCAACCAGAAAACATGGAGAAGCCTTGCCTTCGACGCCTCTGACAGCCCAGAATCTTAATGCAATCTCGTAACCTTGTCCATGATCGTTCCGCATGAGAGGAATTCGACCAGTTCAAAGCGTTGCCAAGGCCGCCAACAAATGTAAAGGGAAGGCATGCTGCGTGTATACATTCAATGCGGCACATGAGCACAAGTGTTGATGTATGTATGAACGTAGGTATGCAGGTATGTATGTATGTGTCTGAACACGTATGTGTACATGACTTTTATTTATGTGCGCAGACACGCACACACGCACGCACGCATGCATGCACAAATGCAAGCAGCACGGTTGTTACTTTCATGCATCCGCTCACTCGCGCAAAACAATAAAGGCATGAGTGTGCATACTTTTACGTGTGTATGTTTAGGTATGCACGCATGCGGGCACGCACACCTGTGTCGATGCAGAGTACGTGCGAGTATGTTTGCATGGACATGCAAAATGACTCAGATGTACAGCCGCCTGACCAACTCCATGTTGCCCCAAATACATAGCCAAGAGACAGAAATGAACGAACATGCAATGCACACTTGCAGCCACATATCCATCCGCTCTGGGCGCATGCTCTGATCACAGAAGCAATTCGGAGATTTCGGTCTGAAATACCAGTAGTGCCGTGATGATACATCCGCGGAGTTACATCAGGATTGAGTTCCATGTCAAAACCACTCCGCTGGTGGGATCACCACCTAGGTTGAAGTTAGGTCAGTGTCACCTCAATCTCGCCCTCCACTAAGTGGAGGTGCTGTTAGTGTGCCAGGGAGAACCGAGCAGCGTGGGAGTGCGTAGCGCAGCAGGCTCACACTCACACTGCCAGCTTGCTTTCAACGATGATGGCCTTGCAAGAGCTTGGAAGACACCGTGACTCCTGATTGCCGCAGGCCGTTAGACTCAATAGGCATCATGGTGCAACAGCGGATGCCGGAGTTTGTAAACCTTGCAGTGTGATGCAGCGAAGCTGAACTAGCAGCTATACACTAAGACTAGCTGCGAGTCCATGAGTAGCTCGTGTGCCTGTTGGACTTGACCTGAGATGATACACCGCCGATGTTCCAGATGCCGATCACACGAGGCGAAGGACAGCCGACCGCCGACCGCCGACCCGAGCGAAGTGACTCGCAAGATCTGAAGGAGGGTCGTCCAATGGGCGCAGTCGCAACCGTGGCGGATCTTCGCCGTGCAGTGGGAGCCTTGGCTTCTCCTTTGCCTCGCAAAACTTCTCGGCTCCGTCAGGTCCGCAGAGCATCCGAGTTGCGCGGGACCTGGCCGAAGAGGGGAGGCGAGGAAGAGCACGGCAATGGCAGCATGGCACAAGCAAGGCACAAGTGCCACAACACCGTTGAGTGGGTGTTTCCCCGAGTGCAGGTGGTCTTCTCCAGAAGCAGGCCTCCCAGGACGCACCGCCGGGACTCGCCAAGAGAAGACGAGCTTTGGTCCTGATTCGAAGGACGAGAGCCATGTCGACCGGCAGAAGACGGAAGTGCTGAACCAGGCGTTGTGCGTCAAAAGCCCGACCAAATGGGGAGAGATAGCGAGAGGTTAGTGATATGTGATTATGAGACCTTCGGCAGGTGTGCAGGGACGGACATGAAACATGCGTATCGTAGTGTCAGCATGTTGATCATTCAGAAGGGGTTCAGCAGGAGTGTTCCCAGCTACTCCGGATTGTTTGGTTTCTCGCCTTCTGCACGATCGTCTTGTGAAGGTTCTGTTTTCTGCGACCAGGATGCAGGCACGGCATGGTCTTGCTAGTTTTGCCTGGTTTGAGCAGGGACGGAGCTGCAATTCTCCGAGACTTCCTCGAGTCTGCAGTGCAGGTCCTGGCTCAGCGAGCACGGCTCCCTCCCCGACGAAGAGACTCGAGAGCAGAGCCGAGGTCAGGTGCTCTTGCCAGTCACGACGACCGCTCACCACCACAAACCGCTTGCTCATGCCGTCCCGCCGTGGCGGTTGTCGAACTGGCCTGCCTGGTGTTTCCAGCTGAAATGATGCAGATCTTAGCTCTGAGACTTTCAGCTCTTAGCTCTTGCAGGAGGAGAGCATTCGCTTGGCCGAGCACCAGCCACGTCGGAAGGCACGCTGTTTGGCAACCTCCAGCTGCAGATCACGGTAGATGAAAGCTAAGTTCTGTGCAGATTTAGCTCAGGCAACCTGCAGGAGATTAGGTGTTTGGAGGCAAATTGATTCGATTGTGGACTTAGCCTGTTCACTTTTGTCTACCACATTCACCTGCCTCTCCTCAGGCTGGCCACCCCCCTCTCCCACCCTCTGCCTTTGTATTCTCTTGTTGGGGCTGTTCCCAACTACTTGACGTTTTCGATGCTTTTGTATGCATCTTTGTCGGCAAACTGCGGCCGGCACAAAGCTGCCCCATCGAGCTTGTTTTTCCTTTTCTCCAAGCCTTGTCTTAACAGGGGCCTGGCGTACTTGAGCGACTGGCTGCACCCTGACCACATGAGTTGCACTGTTTGGAAAGCTTTTGCCACATGTGGCCGAGACTTGCAGTGGAGGCTGGTTCCCAGCGTCGAAGAAAGCTTGAACAAGTTCTGGGCTGATGAGCTCAGCCGCCTGGCGACACTGGCCCCTCTCGAGCGTCAGAGCCATCAGCCATCAGCTTTTTCGCCAACTCCTTGACTTAGGTTCGATGTTGCAGGTTGTCAGACCTGTCAAGAAACTCTGAGTAGGGCGCAGTATGTTGAAATGTTCTGAACGCAGCAGGCTCCGATGATCTGCTGCGTCTCCGGGTGGTTTTCCGATCCATGTCCGAGGAGCCTTGTCCCGCGAGTCGCGTGCGATCATGGATAGCCTTAAGCAGCCTGTGGCGTCATCGTCTTGCTCTGCTTTTGCTCTGACCATCTTCAGACCTTCAGATTCCATACAAATGACGAATCATGGCATGGTAGCGGCAGAGGAAAACAAGTTTGGAAGAGAGACCGTAATGGCAGGTTCACATGATTTCACATGACCATGAGCAGTAGTCGTTGCTTTTTAGCACGTGCTCACGTCGTTGGTCCGCCCCCCGGTTTGCCTCTAGGACGGACTTCATGTTCCTCGAGCCGCCCTTCGCGAGCTTTCGGTTCGCCTCGGCCTCCGCACCGTGAGCCCTGACAGGTCGCTGCGGATCGCCTTGCCCCGCTCGCTGCGCGTCGCTCTGAAGTTTGTTTTGCGACATCCTGGAAGGAGTGAGGAGCTCTTGCGGCAGATCACCAACTTCGACAACTTAGACTTCCAAGACTTCTGCGACTTCTGTGAGCGGGCTTTAGTGGATCCATGGCGCATGATGTGAGTTCTTGTTCTGGCAGCACAAGCCGATGAGTAGATTCGTTATAGTGATGATGCTAGTAGGTCGGGGAGGTATGGGAGGTGGAGGTGGATTCGTTTTGTTCTTGTTGCTGGCGGTGGTGGTCGTGCGGCGGCGGTGGTAGTGGGAATGGTGGTGGTGGCGACGGTACTCGTGCTGCTGCCGGGGTGGTGGTGCTGGTCGTGCTCGCATAAGGACCATCAAACCAACAAAGAGTACTAACAACAACTAATGCCGTCGAACCACCGACTAGTCCAAAGCGGACACGGACAAGCTTACCACTGCTGCTGCTGCTGCTGCTCCGAGCGTGTTGTTTGCTTTTTGGCTGCGGTCATTGCTGGATCGTTGTGCTTGTTGTTGGTGGGTCTGGGAGTCATGAGCTCCAGTCGGTTCGGCTGAAGTGGCCGAAGCTTCGGGCTCTGCCATCCAGATGTCCTTTTAAAGCGGAATACGCAATTGCAGAGCCTGTATGACTGTATGCATTATATTCCAAGGTGGAGCGTCAAGCGTTTCAGCGCTTGCTCCAAACTTGGGATCCCAATCCAGGCGACAATGCGCCCGGGCCTGCAAGCAGATGCTTTGCGTTTTGGCACTCGCCGTCTTGACCGGCGTCTGGAGTGTGGAAGCTGAGTTTGTCGGAGCCATCGAGCACGTGCAGGGCTTCATGCGCAGCTTGCAAGTGGTTTGCAGCAGGCTTGCTGGGAGTCCAAGGGTGGCAGAAATGCCTGCTTTGCAGTGTATCTGATCGATTGTTTAAGTATTGAATGCCGTTGAGAATTTGGCTGAGCATCGTAACTGAGACGGACTTTAGCGCTTCACATCGTGAGGAAGACCGTGCAGGACATCCTCGATCTTGCTGGATTGAAGGCCCTTGGACCATGTAAGCACATGTACACTCTGGGACCTTGTCGCTTCTGTGAAAATCTCTCAGGATCAGCCCTGCGACACCTCGCAAGAGATTCTGCGGTAGCTCGTCGACTCGTCGGGCTTAGGAGTGCGGGAGTTCGAAAAGGCTCGCCTTTGAGGCTGCTCCTTTTCTTGTCGTGGCTTCTTGGTATTGGCCGTGCCGTTCACAGCTGAGGTTTCTGGCTGCGCATCACTCTTGTGATGGGTTCAATCATGAGGAGAGCGGTTTAGCAGGTGCAGCTGTCGCTTTAACTTCTGAAGAGGCCCATGCGCCTGCACCCCTGTATTTGTGCTCGAGCATTTGTTATTTTTCGTCCGGTGTGCGCCCTGTGCATTTCGAAGTCGAACGATGGGCTGCACTGGTTCCACCCCAACACAGGGCAAGGCCGACCCAGCCATGAAAATTCTGGTGAGGAAGAGCCAGGAGGTCAAGGGTATCTTGCAGGTGGAGGATCGTCTCATCTTCGAGTGCGACGAGCCGCCGCTGTTCCAACACTACGATTCCTGGCGCCATGAGTTGGACAGCTATGACAGGCACGCGGTCGAAAATGGACATGGCATGCCAATCAACAAAACAGCTCATCTCCAGCTGGCAAAGGACATGAGGCACGCGGTTCTTGAGCTTCTCAGGGATCCTTCCGCGCTTGAGCATGCCGTTAGCTCCCGTCGCCAGCTCAAGGAGGAGATGACTTCTGTAGTATTCTCTGCCGCAGAGGGCAATCAGACCCGGGCCGACGGCCCGGAAGCACTACCACGGCCTTCGCAGAGAAAGACAGGTCAGTCCATCATCATTTCGACATGAGCCTTTCGGGTAGCTGTAGAGGCTGGGTTTGCTAGGCTTCTTCTCAAGGAAGGGGCCGAGCTTTTGGTATTTGTACGATCAAACGTGCGGGTCTATTCCCGACTTTCTGGCTTTCATGCCGCCCCTTTCCAAATCCCTTTATGTTCTCACGGTCCCCGCATCGAAAAGAAGAGTGGCCTCCTTGTAGAGCTTCGATTTTCAGGAGCCACATCTTTCAAAGGGCGGAAAGACCGTTCCAAAGGCAATGTGCTGCCAAGGTAAGTACCGGATGAATCTCGAGAGACATCTTCTGCAGCAAGCTGCATAACTTCCATGACGTGTGGTGCGAGGCCATGCCCCTTGCAGGTCCTTCCATACGCTTCTCTTGATGGCGGATCTTTGATGCCATAAATATTGCCAGTTGATTTTCCGATCGCGTTCGACAAATTTTGAACGACTGAGGCAACAATGCCGACTACTTCTGACCTATCTAGCAGCATCGTTCCCTTGATAGCCTTACCTTCGTCAGCGGTTTACTCGGCTGTTTTGCTTCCAAAGCGTGACTTCTAGGGTCCCGCCCTCCCTCTGCTTGCATGCGAGCCAGAGCAGCGTGATTCCGACATATTCCGACAGCTGCAGCGTGCTGACAATGCAAAAAGCTTGCGTTGCAGATGTACCATCCGCACAGTGCTACATGCCAGCTTCTGTGGCACTTAGCAGAGACGTTTTCTTGCAGAATCAGACATGCAACACCACCAGAGAGCCATGTTGATTCTGCATTCCGCACGCAAAGAACTGTTTCCCCGTTGTGGCTCGCGTCAGGGGACCCCCCTCTGGGATAGTCGAAGCAGTCAAGCTTTCGGCGAAGGCCCTCAAGATTGCAGAAGCCCCTCGCTCCCGAAGGAGCTTGCAGGGATCGTCGCAGCTTTCGATGCATGTGAGGAAGAGAGGCCGCCTGCTTTAGGGGCCTCGCTCTGCTGGCTCCCTCTCCCTCTCCCTCTTTGTCTCTCTCTCGCTCTCTCTCTCTCTCTCTCTCTCTCTCTCTCTCTCTCACTCTCTCTCTCTCTCTCTCTCACTCTCTCTCTCTCTCTCTCTCTCTCTCTCTCGCTCTCTCCACCCACCCTTAACCTTAAACCGGTGTGCCTCCTGTCTCGAGGCCCAATCCGGGTCCAGAGGGCCGCTTGGCCAAGTCATCGGCACTGGAGTCGGCTTTGCTGTGACTTGGCTTGGAGCGTTGACGAGGTTCGGTATGGAAGCTTTCTCTCGTATTTCTTCTTCCTTGCTCATGTTGGTGAGCTTTGTGCAGAGAGGCATGAACTTCCAGTGGGGTTCACGACGTGCTTGCCTCGAGTTCTCTTTGCGATGTCAGGACATTTGGTGGGATCTATTTCGTTGAGGAGTGGCGGAAAGTCAAGAAGAAACTGAAGGCCTGCTTCAGCCTGCGGCATGCCCAATGTTGTAGTGGAGCTGACTCATGCCAGGCTAGAGGACTCCAGCATTCGAGTCTCGGAAGCACGAGAAGCAAGCGTCTTCACATACTGTGAGCTGTGCAGCCAGCCGGTTCGAGCGGCTGGCGAAGGAGCTCCAATGGAATCTGCTTCTTCGAGTTTCTTTTTACGGCACGCCGGATCAGAGAACGCGAGCTAAGAGCCGTTGCAGATGCTCTGCTGAATCTGGCTGTCCTGCTCACACGGAGATTCAGGACTATAGAGGAAGCGCGCCCAGCTTCCTTGAGCATGCCAGTCTGAGGATGAGTTTGATGCCCTTGACACTGACCGAGATGGTCTCATCTCTGTCGAAGTGACCTGACTCACTGTCGCACGAACTTTGTGCCTGGCTCGTGCGGTGCTTGGCAACGAGGCTCTGCGTGCACTCTGCCACCCCCTGGGCTTCACCTTGGTTGGCTCCGAGATGACGGAGTTCTGTAAGCTCAGAGGACTTCCTTTTTGGTGTGTAGCGCTTGCAACTTTATGTGCGTTGCCTGTGTGACTGAATGAAGGAGTAAGTGAAGACAGCTTCTTAAATGTGGAGGCTGCGTGGGACTTCGTTCAGACACTCGGCTGCGCAATCTGCAGGACGCAGACCTCTGTAGTTAGGCGGAGATGCATCTAAGCCTGTCACCCACTGCGCGGCGAATGCTGAGGCAAGTGCGAAACTGCCACGGCTTCACGGAAGTGGAACGCGAGCCGCTGCTGCGATTCAGTCAACAAATCCAACAAAGCTTCCGGGTGGTCGTCATGCAAGCGGGTTAGCCGGCTAGCAAGTGCGATTTGAGCTTGTTTTGCTTAACGTTCGGCACCCGGAAGGGAAAGTAAAATTATGATCCTCTCAGTTTGCTGGGGGTCTGGAATGGTGACCCTCCAGGGTCAGGGCATCAGGGGTCTGAAATGGGTCTTTAGGCATTTTAGACCCTTCCCGGCTTCCCATTTCAGACCCCTTAGCAAAGACTCTTGGATGTCGGTGTTAATGTCGGCTGCAAGCTGCGAAGGATCAGACCGCAGGAGCTCAGAAGAAGCATAACATCAGCCAGCATCAGCAGATTAGATCGTGTTCCCCCCTTCCTTTTTGGAGACTGAAATGGGGGGGGTTACACCGCCGGAACCCATTTTAGTTTAGTTTCGTTCGGGCTTACACCCAGTTGTCCGTATATGCGCGCCATAAACTGTATCACGCACACAAGCAACCAGCTTCGCCATGCTTCGCCCGAAGAGCCATTTAGGGTCAACTTTCTGGGGGTTTGCCTCGGGAACGTTCAATCCAGACCTTTTCGCTGGGTTTGGATAGCATATTCTCGGGTGCCGTGGTTCAAAACGCCGAAGCAATCCAGACCCGCACCCAAAACACAATTCAGACCCCAAGAGATCCCAACAACAAAATACATGTGTGGTTTTCGGCTCGATGCCGGCAGTCAATGGCACTGATGAGTTTCGGTTCTGGCCCCAAACCAAAGCAGCGCGGCACTGTCCCAAACTGTTTGGACGAATAAGAACGTTCGGATTCTGTATGATACCCTGGCTGTAATTGGTTGTGCCATGTTGTGAGAACCCAAAACTTTAAACCCAGACGCCTTGAACCCAGAAGCCCAAGACATCTAAACCCAGAAACCCGGAACAGCAAGGCCTTAAACTCCTACACCAGGAACGGGGAACCCCGGACCAACAAACCCTGAAACTGTAAACCCCACCCAAACCCTTGAAACCCAGAAACCCTGCATCCAGAAATCCTGCACCCTGAAGCCCTAAACCCACAGACCCCGAACCTCGGAACCCTAAATCGCGAAAGCCTAAACGAGAAACCCTAAACAACCTAGAAAACCTGGACCCCTAAACACATCAACGCTGAGCCGAGAAACCCTAAGCTCAAAAACCCTAAACCAGGAAACCTTGAACCAAGAAACCAGAAATCTGAAACAGACAAACATCCAGAACCCTGAACCCAGAAACCCTACACCCAAAGCCTCTGAGCCCAGAACTCCAGAACCCAAAAACTCCAAGCCCAAAAAGGGCGCTCTCAGGATTCCAGGAGTGAGTGAGTGAGTGAGCGAGGGAAGTGAGTGAACGAGGGAGTGAGCCCAAACCCTCAACCCTGCAAGCCCTGCCGCGCACACACGCACATACAGAGTCGCATGCACACACGCACTCACACGCGGCCCAAGCCCCTTTACCCGCAGTTCAAAACCCTCTGAAACTTTAAACCCGGAAGCCTTGGACCCAGAATCCCTGAACCCAGAGACCCTATACCCCGAAATGACTGCTCCGGGCCAGCAGATGATGAGACTCTTTGCTCTAAGCAGCACAAAGGTTGGGCCGCGACCCGTTCCCCCCCCCTCGTTCCAGAGCCGGAGCCCGGGCCCGACAGACCGCTCTTTTACCACCGCGGCCCGGGCTCCGTTCAGGGAAGCGAGGTGGGGGGGGAACGGGTCGCGGCCCAGCTTTTGTGCTTCCGTGCAGGGTCGCTACTAGGAAGTGCCTACTGGCCCGGAGTGGTCACGAGTGAAGTTCGCTTCAGGGGTTTAGGGTTTCTGGATTCAAGGTTTCTGGGTTTGAGGCTTCTGGTTTCCAGGGTTCAGGGTTTGGGATTGCCGGGTTCTGGGGTTTGGGGTTTCTGCGTTTTCGGGCTTCGGGGTTTCTGAGTTCAGTGTTTTTGCATTCGAGGTTTCTGGGTTTAGGGCTGCTGGGGTTCAGGATTTATGGGTGCCGGGGCAAACTGTAGCATAGTCTTATTGCCTACTGGCCCGGAGCCGTCATTTCGGGGTATAGGGTCTCTGGGATTCTGGGTCCACGGTTTCTGGATGTTTCTGGGTTCAGGGGTTTGGGTTTTTGGATTTCTGGGCTCAAGCTTTCTGGGTTCAGGGTTTTTGCGTTCAGGGTTTGGGGTTTAGGGTTTATGGGTTGAGGGGTTCTGTGCCTGTCTCTCGCTCTTTCTCTCTCTTTATATCACTTTTTTGCCTGAGTAAGAAACAGGGGTGCAGCCCCCTCCTCTGCTCTCAATGCGCGCCCCGCATTGTATGGGAAGCACAAAGAATAAAGGCGACACCCAAAGCGCGGACGACTGTACAGCCGCACGCACCGTGCTACTTCCATGGCTTCCCGTGCTCTGCGACCGATGGCGATGAGATGCGACGAGACCCGCGCGCACGTTAACATGGCTCGCTACCGCATGCCTTTCCTCCCCCCTGCATCACCGGGAAGCTTCCATGTTCAAGCCCGGCCCCCCAAGCAGTAGGTAAAATCAGGTAAGTATTCCCAGGGATATTGTTCCAGAACTCGGTGGGCCCCCTGAATAATGAAACAAGGATCCTCGCACATTCTTCACCCCAGTCCCAGGGAACAGGTCACAGCAAGGAGTGCACTCACGATGTGTCGTTTCGTCTGCATGTTTTGTATGCGAAGTTACTATGTTTGGGGGGGTCTGGATTGACCCTGCCGGGGGTCTGGATTGCTCCGCGGAGCACCTCAGACCTTCGGCCGAATTGGTCTGCAGAGCCGGGTCTGAAGTCCCCCTCCCCAGTCGCTGCGTGCTTGCACACTCGCACAGTCGCAAGCACGCATGCCGTTTCGTACAGCCCATATATCAACCCATGTTAGTTACATCTACATTTTAGTTTTGCGGAAGCTTGCGCCCACCCATTTTAGGCTAGATCAAACCACTTAAATAGGGTTTTAACTTCGGCTGGCAGTAGCAAGGGGATTATGCGAATTTTTGGCAGCTTGGTCCAGTGCCCAGGTTTAGAGGGCAGATCCATAGCCAACACAGAGCAAGTCCATAGCCAGCATAGGGTCTAAAATGGTTTTTCCGGATTGCTGCAGTTCCTAAGGAAATAGCACCATGAGGGGTCTAAAATGGCCGCCCAAGCCCCCCCCCCCTTACACCCTGAGGGGATAAATTATGCGGGTTTGCTTGCCAGGGCCTGGCCTGGCAACTCTTCCTTCCAGGGTCATAAATCGCAGGCTTCGTGCTGGTGGCGCACCCCTTCTAACTATTCTACAGATCAATGCCAGGTCGATTAGAATGCAGTGCTTGATGTGCCCCCTGCTTGCCAACTCTGATCACTAAGCCCGCACGCTATAGTAATCTGGGTTTCCAGTCTCCCAAGCATGCGGTACAAGCAGCTGCTGGGGGAAAAACACTGTCCCTGAGTCTCTCTCCAAATCTTCGCCTCACTTGCTCGCACTTTCTCACTTTCTCTCTCCATTTGTCACAGTCTCCCTATCTCTCCCTGCTTCTTGTTACTGCTTTTCTGCAAGGCAATGGGAGGTCACGATGGCGCACCGTAGATTCCCCTTTGCGAGTTGGCGACCTTCGGTTCTTAATAGTGCGTCTATACTGTAGCCATCGTGAATCATTTTTTTCGAAGGTGTAAGTCCACACAGAGCACATAAAGGTAGGTGAAGAGGGACGAAAGAACCGCAAAGAGCCAGTTGCATCGTGGCCCAGGAAGAGCTCCTCCGCAGTTTCCTGCGCTTTTCGGGCGGCAGCGGCGAGTTGGCCACTGTGAAGGTTGGACCCCGCTTCACAAAACGCATGCGGCTTTTTTTTGAGCTGTGCTGAAGTGCTGCCAGGTCATGGAACTCCTGCAATGGCTCGGAGCTGAGCGGATGGGCAGGGCGTCGAGGGGGGGGCGGAAGCGCCTGAAATGGCAGGCTCGGGCTGGAGGGAAACATTGAGGAAGCCCGGGACATGCTTCGCCTCCCGGCCAGAGAGTGTAGAGTGTAGAGATAGGACGGGGACAGGTCACTACCAGAGTTCTGTGAGAAGGCGAAGGGGGGGGGGGGGGCTCGGCCCATGGGCCCCTCTCCCCCCCCTCCGCTCTCCGCTCGTCTCTTCCGCTTCTTCGGGAGTGCAATCTTCTTGCTTCTCTATGCAGATTCCACGCACGGGAGGCCGAGGCCGCAAGAGAGGTGAGGGCAGGACGGGCAAGTCCTGAGTCCCGAAGACCACTCCAACCTATCTCCGCAACATCAGCTGAGCAAAGCGAGGAGAGATAAGCCGTGAGAAAGTAGGGGAGAGAGCGAGAGAGTGCGTTGCTCTCCCATTTCTGCCGAAGGGGTTTTACCGGGGGTGGCTCAGCTTTCGAGCTGTTGGTAGAGGAAGCGGCCGAGGATGCGTGCTTTGGCAAACTCGTAACTCGTCTTCTTGGTAAGGCATGGTGGACTTTAACTTCAGTGGAACCTTGGACCGAGTGGAGTTCCTGCGCCTGATGCGATTGCAGAAGGTGGGGTTGCAGCTTCCTACCTTTGCGAGTCTTTGTGCCGAGGTTGTCTGTTCGGCGGAGCTTGCAGTTTTGTCGCGACTGAAGGAGAAGAACTTGAACGCCTACACCAAGGCCTACGTCTCCAAGAACTTGGACAAAGATCTTAGCGAGAGCACCGTGGCAGCAGCAAATCGTGAAGCTTATATTGGCAGGGGAGATCCATCCTGCACGGGTTTGCAGGTCATCTGGTTGCCGCCCTTGCAGACTGCGCGGTGCATCCAGAAAAGCAGACTCTGCAGGAGCTTACAAGGCAAAAGGCGCAGAGGTCACCGTTGAAGATGCGGAAATGTCATTGGAGGCTGAGCCTAAGCCTTGAAGCCTTGAAGCTTCGCCGAGTCCTCAGGAGGTCTTTCGGCGGCAGAAATGGAAGCCAGGCGATTCGCCTCTCAGTTGGGAAGCGTCACCCGGCTGGACGAAGACCCTCTGCCGCTTCCATACTGGTTCTTACTCGTGCAAGTCCAAGGTGGGTTTGCATAGCCGAGGAGGCCAGTCTTGAAAATGGTGGGTCCGGGATGGCTGATGGCTCTGCAGTGGCTTTTGCAGGTGCGGAAGATGGCCCCGGTCTGGAAGCGACGCCGTGCAGGATTCTCCGAGATTCAGGCCCGTCAGAGCACCGAATCTCCGTTCTCTCTCCGCAGCTCTCGGGGGCCTCTCTTGCTATGCCAGGTCAGAGAACTCCAGGCAGCTTTCCGGGGTCCAGAGTCCGTGCCCGGGAAGACCGGTCCGGTGGTGGCGGCTGGGACAAGAAGGGAAGTAGAGCAGCGGAGCAGCGTCCACTTCGTCTTCGTGCTTTGCCTCTTTCGGACGGGTGCTCTCTCTCTCTTTGAGGTCAGCGACCTGCTATGGATGCTCCTCGACTCAGGCCCGTGCCTGCGTGGCGCTGTAGCCGCTCCTAGCTGTTGAAGTCTCTCGACTCGAGGCATGAGAATTCACCGGGCTGAAGAGCGACGGGAGTTCCACCAGGCAGATGGAGATGGGTTTGGCTGCTTGGCCGTTCCGCTCTCTTTTCCTTTCTGGGGGGGCCTGGGGCGCAGCAGGCGCTGGATCGTGCCAGGCAAGAGGCTTTGGAGGCCGGAAAGCTGAGCCCTCACATTCACATCATTCACATGCCTCTGCCTCTCGTTTGCCGGAATTGGTCAGGCTGGCATCAGCCCGAAGGACGTTGGCGAGCTTGGCGGCTGCAGCAGCACAAGGAAACTTATAGTAGATCCGGTGTTGCCGGCGCACGCTAACTCAGGTAGCTTAGAACTCTACTTCGCCCCGTTCCTGCACCTGGTCCGGGCGTGTCTCGGCTCCAAGATCTCTTGTACAAACTCGCTCGAAAGAGATCTGGCTCATCTGGATTACTTCTCTTGCTCCCTTGTAGGCATGTGCGCGTTATTGAGCAGCAGCAGATCCAGAGGGAAGAGCTTGCCATGAGGCCGGCTCGCGTTACAGATCTGTTCGGCCGTGTGAGTAACATTCCTCCATGCAGGAGCGTGAGCTTTTCAGCGGAAGAGATTGCAGATCTCCGGTGTATCTTCAATCGCCAGGTTGGTCAAAAAAGCTTGCAAATCCAGCTGAATGCTTTTCATCTTTCTTTGCAATTCCTCTTCCGAAGGCCAGCGAGGCCCGACAGAAGGAGGCCGTGGAGGCGACTCTAGCGGTAGGGAGATTTTTCTGGGAGCGTGGAGAGAGAGAGAGAGAGAGAGAGAGAGAGAGAGAGAGAGAGAGAGAGAGAGAGAGCAGGCCCCGGCCGTGTGCCACCCACTCAGCGCCGCCGTCTTGAACCTTTGCAGCATCTCACGGCTGCCGTGCTCGGAGGCGCTGGGGGCAGACTCGCTAACATTGCTCGGTATACTGGCTCCGTACTTCGTTGTGAAGATGAACCCAGTCGGGATTTAAGCCGAAAGCCAGACACCCAAGTGCTCCCTAGGAGAGTCTTGGACATGTGCGGTGCCCAGCAGCTGCTGCCTTGCAGGTCGTGCATCTGGCCGGCTGCATCGGGGTGCGAATGAAGACGTCGCAGAAGGAGATGTCGCTCGGTGGCACCGTGAAATGCCCTTTTCTGCACAGTAGACCTGTTCTGCAAGCTTCTACGGAACCTGGTGGCTTAGGCTCCAGCGGAAGATCAGAGAGCTTTGTGTTCAAGGTGGGCGGGGAAGAATGAAGCATCGATGTAGAAATTGTAGCCGTGCCGACGCAGGTCCCTTCCTGCAGCCATCCGCTACCAAGAAAGAGGCCGGTCATGCTGTTCGGCCACATGTCGTAGCGTCTGCCAAGATGCCAAAACAAAGCTTCTCCAAGGCCTCAGCGCGATCATGCCGCTCTGACGAGGACGGTGAGCAAGGCACCTCGTGAATCGCAGCGTCGATCCCGCTTATGTTCAGCGAACCACGTACCATGTGCAGAAGAGTCAAATGAAGGTTTGCAGCTGAACTGCCCTTACAGGCTTGGACCTGGATTTCGCGGAATTCCTGCACATCTTCCAGTGGATGACTGACTGCTGCTTGCCCTAAGAGTAGGGCGGCCTCGCACAGTCCACCTTTAGTTCATGGCAAAACGTGAAATCTGTAGCTTGTGCTGACAGGCAACTTCTGCAACATCAACGACGTCGCCGAGCGGTTTGTTCAGACATCTTGGCGTCGACCTTCCATTTAAGTGTCTGGTCCACGGCACGCGTTTTCAGAAAAGGTGGAAGTTGAGGACTGCATGACTCTTGATTCTAGATAGGCCTCTATCTCTATCCGAGTGTTCTTTTGCTGAAGCAACAAGACGGGTGCAGAAAAAGAGTTGCCAGTCTGGTCGAAGAAACCTTCCCAGAACTGGAACCCTTGGGTTTCCTCACAGGCGCTTTGGCCAGAGAGAACTTTTTCAGCTAGATGTGTGGGATTGCATCATGGATTCTGCTGTAGCCTAACGATGGATCCTTCACAATACTTCTTCTCCTTCTCGTCTCACACTGTCTAGCGCGATTTCATCAACTTTAACTTTAAATCTTTGTGGGCGCGATCTGTCAGACACAGACAGCAGCGGTGACTTGTAGCGCGTGTTTTCACCGCGGTGCTCATCCCACTCGCGAGTTTTGCATTCGTAGGCGGCTGGACAGCTTGTCGGTTTCAGTAGACTGCTGTTTTGCCAAGCGATGCAACTTGGCGGCTTAGCGTCGCCGGTCATTCTGAGGCCGCACGCCCAGAAACGGCGGCGAATTTGAATTCTCAATGCTAACTGGCAGCTAACTACTTAGCTGCTTGTCAATGAATGCTTGGCTTTCCGCGGCTCGATCGAGACAATATCGTTGTAGCGCAAGGAGGTGGAGTGGCCGATAGAGCTTCATGATTGAAGCTGGTGTTCCTGTTGTCGTCTTGTCTCCGGAGAGCAGATGCTGTGAGCCGGCCAAATTCATCGCATGTGACGGCTTGCTTTTTGCTTGCAGCACCGACGAAGCGCAAGCACATAAGCAAAGGCTGGACTTGATTGAGCCTCTCTGGCCGACTTTTGAAAAGGGGCCCGCTCAAAACTGCACTGCGCACGCCGCTCGGTGCTTTCCCCCGTTGTGTCTGTAGTCTGAAACTTTTGAGTATCTTATGTATCTCGGAGTGAGTGCAGCAGACTGTGTCGAATCGGTTCTATGAGCTTGCAAGCGCAGCCCTTAACCGCCACAGACATGGTGTTCTTGCCGTTCCCATCCGGCACCTGTCACAGGCCGCAGGTTACCGGCGTCGAGATGCGAAGGCCGGTCACTCAGTCTCTTGCTGTTGCTGGGGTCTCTGTGATCTCACGCAGGGCGGCGCCTGCGCCTCCGAGCTTCGAGGCGATCTTAAGCAAAGGGCCCTCTTTCTGGAACTGCTCTGTCTCTGACGAAAGGCCGCCATCCCAGCCACTTGGCAAAACCGCCGGCGGTCTATCTGAGAGCCTTTACGACGCTTTTTTGCTGCCACAGCCGCCTTGCGTAAGCTTTGCTGTTCCACTGGCTTCAGAGTCGCAGTCGGAGGGAGGTACAGTAGTACGGTACCATCACCAGTACGGTAGAACTCCACTTCAGCCTTGGCTGCGGCCGGCATGCCTCCAAAGTCGGCTATGGAGCTGTGTCCACCGTGTCAAACCTGACATGGGGATCTAGACATCCATCGCTGAGACAGCTGGGGCCTTCCTTCAAGTTGAAGCTGACGTCTTCAGCCTTTGCTGCCTACGCTGATTTAAGTAAGTAGTGCTCTGTAGATCATGTCAGGAAGCACTGTATGGGTGGCCTTAGCATTCAGACGAAGCTAGTTGTTGCGAGAGTATCGGATCCAAGCAGGCCTCCGACCATTCAAGGCCGCTGGCGAAGGGTGTGCAGCCCACAGTGCGAGGAAGGCGCTAGGCACGAGCCTCCTTTGACATGGGATTATGTCGAGCAGTCGAGCAGTGATGCACGTCGAGCCTGAGCGATGTAATCGACTATGTAGCGCAATCTGAAATCCATCGCAGCTCGTAGATGCATCTGCAACGGCCGACAGCAATCCCAGCAACAGTCAGTACCCTGTGAGTTTCGAGCCAGTCCCTCGGTGTGAGCAAATCGCCGGGGCGCGTGGCGGATTTAGTCATGGCCTTGCGGCGCTGGGAACACTTCAGGGGCCTGGGTGGGATTGAACGGACGTTGCCGCGTCATGTGCTCCAACATCGTGCCAAGTGTGCTTTCAGTTAGCCCCTGCTCCCAGAAGGCAAGGACAAGGAGTGCAGACATGCGCTCGCCAGCAGCAAATCTGCAAACGGAGCTGCACGACTGGCAGACTAGCGATAGCCAACGGAAAACCATCATCTCGGACCATAGGGTGCAGGTTCGGGTTTGCTAGTGCCTCGTCAGTGCGGCTCCGGCCACCTGTGCCAAATGCCCGTGCCAACAGCTGTGCAAAGCATCGCTGGCCTTGACAACGACTGAGACAGGCAGAGACCGGTCAAGCTCGAGTGAGAGCAACAATGTGATCGAGAGCTTTTCGGAGGTTGTGTTTGTGCATTAGTTAACATAGCTTGCAGTGGAGTTCGGTTTGCCTGCGGTGATACAAATCGTTCTTGGCTGAGTTCCCTTTCCTGTTCCACTTCTGGGTGAGCCTGGTAGCTAACATTTCGGATGAGCCGCTCCAAGTGTTTTTTTGCATCGGGCTCGGTTTTGGAGTTTGGAGTGCGATAAAGTACAGGATACGGCGTGTATCTCGGACATTTTAACATCGAGCGAGGCTTTGGAGTACGATGAAACATTGGATTCGACTTTCTTGCTTCGGCTAGCTTGGGTTCCATGTGGTGAAGCACATGCCCAGACAATTTGCTTGACGCCAGGCTCGTGCGATGAGGGCTCGAACAGTTGCCGCTGCCATCTTGCGAATCCTTATGAAGTCGGGCGCGCTAAAGTGCTAAAGGCTGCTGTGTTTCTGGGATTTGTTGGCTTCAGACGATTGCCGACGAGCTAGATTCAGTGCTGATTGGAGTTCATGCGGCTTGACGGGGTCTTCGGCTGTTGACGTATCTATCAAACTTAGGGTGGTTTCCAACAAGAACCTGTGATGTGTCATGCATGTCACATTGCAGGATGCTTTGTCTGGGCTGATAAATAGGCACTCAACCCCGCTGTGCACTTGATCTCGGCTCGCAGAATCTCGCAGAACTTCGGTGCCTGGTCACAGATGCTCACATGTGCCAGTCAGCCAACCGGAACAGCGGTTTTGTTGCTCGTGCTTCTATCGGCCTCCAGCCACTGACTGTATCGACGCCACTGCCCGTCGTCTCCAACTCTGACGGGCTGGGATGCTGCATTTCGAGCAGACATCGCCGCATGCTTGCAGCTGCGACGCTGCTCTTCCTGCCAGGCGCGAAGCGTTAAACCGAGACTGTCTCCCCACCAACCTTGGGGCTCCGGATTCCAGGAGTCGTTGCGCCTGCGAATCTCAGGCCGGCAGGCCGGGCCCCTGGCGGAGACTTCAGACTTCAGACGCCTCTGACAAAGTCCGTGACCGCTCTGGCAGGTGCCCTCAGTGCAGCGAGCCTTGCAACCTTGCTGGGCGACGAGGCCGGAGGGCAGCAAATGGCCCTCATTGACCCCAATTCCGGCCGAAATTGGGCTCTATGTGTTTTTTTAGGATCGCGTGGTTGACTTGTTCGAGTGGAGTCGTGCAATCGGTGAGCGCTCATTGTAGGAAGCAGTTGAACGGTGGATATGAAGCTGACAAGTCGGAAGTGGGAGTGCGTATGCAGGCCGCGCGCTTGCCTGGGACTGAGTGTTGAGTCGAAGCGGGCAGCGCCCACGGAGTTGAAAGTTCACAGGCAGACACGCCTTTCAAGAATTCGCAACTCGCAACAACTTGCTGTGCTTTGAGGCCATACCTCAAAAGCTTGCCCGTTTCGCAGTGCGTCCGACACGGAGGTCGGGTCCCGTCGCTCACCGACTCACGATGATACTGTGGACTCCTTTGCATTCAGCTGTGCTAATGTATAGCTGCTCTGCAGGAGGGAGCGCAGAAGGAGGGCCGCCCACGCTCAGCCCTTGGCTCTCAGAGTGCGAAAGGAGATCTCACCAGAACTCTGTGTCGCAATCAGAGACCTCGCTTTTTATCGCCCGTATCGCCACCGCAAGTGGGCGGACTGCTCCAGGCTGCATTGGGTCTGCTATCATGCCTGAGGTATTGGCGCGGCTTCGCGTCGGTTCTGAATCAGCAACTGCAATCTCCGTCTAGGCAGATCCTGAGCCGTGACAGTTGAGGGAGAGACAGGAGGTGTCTTGTCAGAGGCATGGCTGGCGGCGATTCCTCGGTCATGCTCTGCGGCACCTGCGTTGTCGCGGCAAGTTGCTCAAGGCAGCGAAACAATGCACACTGCTGTGACGGCTGGAGCTATCGCAAGAGAGGCCTGTCCTGACATCATCGAGTTCTGTCCCCTGGGTCTTCTGCAACTCCCTTAGCCACACAGACCATGAAGACGAATGAAGAAGGGATGTTTACGGGCCGTCTTGATGGTTGTGCTTGTCAGTTCTGCGCACATCCTGCTATTGCTCAGCGCGTCGGCGGCCCGGTGACTCTTAAAGGTCATGATGCGTCGCATGAAGTAGTGTATATTAGCCCGAATGGGCAATCTGTGAGGCCGCGAGCATATGGTCTGGATGGGCGGCTATTCCTGCCATCAGTGCCTTGTCACAGATTCGAAGTCATGAATTGACTGTAGGTGACAACGGACGGTCTGCTGACAGCCGAGGCACCAGCACATCCCCTGGAACAGTTGGGCTGCGAACTCGGGGCGATGTGACAAAAACCGGTCCAGTGCTGTACTGAGGACGATGTTACAGCTAAGGTGTGGGACTGGGATACTTCTTGTGGAACCCCACTGGCTACAAGCCAGGCTCCAAGGACGTCAGTGTCGTAGCCTTCAATGCAAATCCAAGAACATCTGCACGAATTGCCGGCTGCTGCTGCGGCACGAGAGATGCCAACAAGCCAGGGCCTCTCAGGCCCATGGCCGGCCCAAGCCGGAAAGGCCTCCGAGATCTCGCGTCAAACGTGTTCACAACAGGCAAGAGGCATCGACCGGAGTGTGACCCTGTGATGGCCTTCCAGCGCCCCATCCTGGCTTTGTCCTGCTCTGTGCCTTCTTGCTTCCCCTTTCCGCCTTTCCACGGGTTGCAGCTTTGAAAGCTCCGAGCGGTCGCCCCACATCGGCCACCCACAATCGAAGTTTGCAGCGAAGTTCCTGCTGGTGCTTTGGCCGCGCCGTGCCGCCGTGCGAGGCTGAGGGACCTCGTCTACAGCGGCTGGCCGATCTTCGCGCTGCTCCGCGAGCTGCGCTTGAAGCTCTCGAGGCCCGGACCGGGAGCAGCATTCTTCTTGGAGACAGGAGCTGGACGAAGAGAGATCAGCGTGATACAGTAGCCATGATGGCTGATTTGAGAGCGGGTGCTGTAACAGAAGCCAGTCTCTGCCTTGCGCTTGCTCAGCCCTCCGAAATATAGTTGAAAAAGAAGTACGCGCGCCCAGGGTCTTGACGAGAATGGCAGTGCTGCAGATTTTGCAATCGGGGCGTTGAAGGAGGGGCTGCTTTCCGGCGCCTCTGCCGGAGCGTTGTCGCAGGCTGCCGATCATGCCGGACATGGACACTAGCCAGGCTCCTATATTGTGACAATCCATAGATGTGATATTTGTTTGCGTTGGCAACACCGTGAGCATTGAACTCTGCAGTGTTCCGTGTTTGAACCCTTGGTTTCAGATCAGCCTTGACGAGTTGAAGCACATCTCCCGGATGCGGCAGCACTTGTCTCGGCAGCTGAAAGCTTGGGTGTGTCGGGGACTGTGTGCTCATCTCTTCAACCCAAGTAGAATTAGTGAGTTTCCGCAGCTCGACATGTATACTCCCAGAACTCTATTTGCCGGGAAAGGTCAACCGGCACTTCGGACGACCTCGACAGGGCCTTATTACAGCTTTGGCATTGCCATAGTTCTGACGCGTGTAGCTTTGGCCCATGTGTGAGCGGATGTGCGGATGCCTCTTTGCACTTCCATCTCTTAGGTGAGATGGGCCACTGCGCAGTTCCTGTGCGAATACCGCCCACAGGCCCATCATCTTCGAGACAGCTTTTAGACCCTCCGCTCCGCTGCTGTCCCGGGGCAACTTGCGATGGCCTTGCCGTGAAGCGCACGCTAAGCTGTTGCAGGGTGCAGCTTGCCCTTTCCTCGAGGAGGGGGCGACGGTTGCCGGGGTTTTGCGCTGTTCCTCCATCGTGCTCTCGCTGTTTGGGGCAGTATAGGGATGTGGCTGGCGCGAGGCCGAACACTTACTGCAGCGGGCAGAGGAGCGAAGCGAGCCTTGCCATGTGGTTTCATGCTCTCGGCTTCTAAACGCTCGCTCTTCGCCATTGGCAACGAGGAGATCTTCCGTAACGCGGGGAGTAGTTTCGGCAGGCCAGAGCAGCGGTATCAAAGGTGGCTGGGTGCAACAGACTTGCATGCAGAGAGATCTGCATTGAGGTCTTCTATGAGGCACAAGCGCTTTGATGATGCTCTCGATGCCGCGGAGAGCTCGCCAGAGACCCACAGAGCGACCAGTTGCGGAGCGTCCCACGGAGCAGAGCGGACCATGATTCTGGTGCCAGGCTCCAGCGGCTGCTCCGCTGGTTTCACCCCCCGTCCTCCCGCGCCTCCTTGGGGCCAGCGGCACGTCTCGCGGCAGGCCGCGAAGACCGAAGCTGCAGAGTTCCCCGCTTGTTTTTGAATGTGGAGTCAAGAGTCAAGGCATCCTCATCGCCGGAGACATAGCAGGGTGCTTATATCTGGAGTGTGTGTACGAGCTCTGTGCGATGCCGGGCCTACGAGGCCCTGCCCCGACTGGAGCGATTGCAGCGGCGAGTAAGACAGCTGCATCTTCGGACGAGGCGTGCGCGAGCCTCGGATCTGCAGGGATTTGCTCCTGTACGTAGGACTTCTCTTTCTGATTCTGACGGGTGAGGCGATGTTGTCAGCGGCCGACAGGACTGGAGCCTGCTCCTTTTGCTGTCTCCTCATGGCTTGTGGTTGTGGTAACTACTCCGGAGGATGTATCCCGTGACGGAGAGCATCTTGGAGCAGGGTTCATTGATTGCCGAGGTCACCTGAGTTGTTTCGGTAGAGTGTGGGCGCAAGCGTGGGGGCTTGAGCCGGCAGAGGCGAACTTCGTCTCAGCTCTCCACCGACAGCTCCAGGGCAGGCGCATGTGCCGGGGTCTGCATCTGCAGAGAAGCAGAGCTCTCTGCGAGCCTGCCCAGGCCAGGTCCGAAGCCTTTGGCAGAGCAGCAGACGGAGGAGCGGAGGAGTTTCAAAATCACGCAGACTCTAACGGTCTCTGACTTGAAAACCTCCGTCCATCCGGCCCATGCAACATACTCAGACATACTCCTGCTCCTGCTCCTCTCCGCCGCCGTTGTGTTTGGTCACAGGCCTGGGTCGCCCTCCTCTGGGGAGGCCGAGGCAGAGAGGCCCCCCTCGGAACGGGGGGGGAAAGCAAAAGCTTTGAGGCTCTTAGAGCGCTCTTTAGAGCTTTCGTCAGAAAGCGGTTAGTCCTTGGCCTTAACCGCGGCTACGAAGCCGCAGTCATCCAGTGGAAGCCTGCAGAACCATCAGCAATCCTTGACGGTGATGAAAATGAGAAGCGGTCAGGCCGAACGCCGCGCCTTGCTCTACTCCGAGGTCACAGACGCAAGTTTCGGAGAGTGCAGTTTCAGGGCTTGAGCCCCATTCCACCAGGCCATCCGCACACTGGCCTTCTCGACGAGAAAGGCCGAGGTGTTCGGGACGGGCTTTGCTGCTTTCCTTCGCATGTGCGGCCTTGAGCCGCAGATGTTGCATGATTGGCATGGCTCCATCATTCGCACCTCATTGCAATCTCCTTGCATCCGCCGCGGGCCGCTTAGACCTCGAGACTGCTGGCCCAAAACGCCTCTTGTAAGGCTTTTAGGTCATGCCAAAGGCCGGGGAGGGGAAGCTATTCACAGTCGCAGCCCGCATTCGTCAAGACAGGACTGGTCTCATGACGGTGCTACAGCGCTGGAAGATGTCGACAGCGAGTTGACGTATTCAGGGCGTGTCACCAACGTGGGCCAGCAGCTGGATGAAATGAGGCTGCTGTTAGGTCTTGATTGTGGCACCTGCCCGAGAAATCTGTGAAAGCATGTTTCCCGGATGGCCAAGGTATGGCGTCTTCGTAGACTTCGGGGCGGTGAAGGATGCACTTCTCAAAGTCCCGACAAAGCCGCTGGGCGATTTGAGGTACAGACTTTCATTTGCCTGGACGTGACTCATCAAAGGGTCGGCCGGCGCTTGAAGAAGGGCATGGATGTGGATGGCTTGACGATCTTGCCTGTTGGCTGCATCTGAGGGATATGTCGTATAATCGTATAGCTTGCAGACCTGCGGTTACAGGGCCACAGAGTTCGCTTTGACCCAGGAGCATCGACGCTGCGGCTGGCAAGGCGACTCGGAGTCGGACACGGCTGACTTGATTTGAGAAGGTCCTGAAAGAGCAGTGACGCAGTCGTGCCCGCCGACAGGTCGTGATGGAAGCAGATGAGTCCCAGTTCGAGGATCTCCCATCCAGGCCAGCAGAATCCAGTTTCGGGGGCCTTGCCGCTCTCTCCCTCAGAGGCCCCGGAAGCCTGCGGCCAAAGCGAAGAGCGGCGCAGCGCCGAAAGCAGCCACGAGGACGGACGCCGCATGCCTTCGTGGATGAAGGAACTGGGAAGGAACCCAGAGACCCTGAACGGAACGCACACACACACATACACGGACACACGCACGGCTTGAAGATGCGGCTGTCGTTCGCGCAGAGCCAGAGCCGGCCTGTGCAGACTTTCTCAGGACGCGAAGCCGGCCACGCAGAACTTGGGATCACTCAGGCAGGACGGACTGGGGCCAACTCTGGGATGCAGTGCCTACTCTCTCTACACAGAGTCGACACTGTGAACGGCGGTCGCCCTAGGCCCTGTAGGCATTGTAGGCTTGAAGCAAACTCGTGCGCAGCCACTCGCAGACGACAAGTCCTTGGTAACAGGTCGTGGGTACGAACTTTGTACTGGTCCTAGGCCTGTCTCCCTCCCGGCTTTAGTGCTTAGCAAGATGCTCTCGACTCTTCAGCCCCGGGCTCTCGCAAACGGTCGTGTCCCTTCACGATGCCGACGAGCAAGGCAAGGCGGCTGTAGATCCAGGTCGACAAACGTCCAAGCCGAGAACTTATCGACTTGCTGATCCCGGGAACCGCAGCGTTATGGCTCGTCCATGCTTGTGCATTCAGGTGCTTGCACAATTACACACGGCCAGATGACTGCAACAGCACCGCAAGCAGTAACACAGAATCGCCATCTCGGCATGCTGAGGCAGCTGAGGCCATGGTTTCCGCGTTGCGTCTGTTCGAAAAGCGGCACCTGGACGAGACAACTGCCTGCTTCATTGGTGTGCGTCACTTCTGCACGGAGCAGCCACTCAAGACCGCAGCAGGTACCAGGCAATAAGCGCAACCGCGCGATGCAAAGGCCCAAAGAAAATTTCTATGCACAGACAGGTCGTACGGAGTCCCAGCTCCACTTCCTTATAGCTCCCGTGGACACTGCTGACGTGCCACGCGATCCAAAATACGCTCGATGGCGCGGCCGCCTGAAGAAGGCGAAAACTTCTGAATCCCTGTTGGAGATGCTCAATCTCGCTCGCGAACGTGATGAGGTTGATGGTAGTGTGATTGGTGCATCTATGCAGAAATGTGGTCATGGCCGATGGTGGTCTGCCTTGCTTCAGGTCGAAAAGCTGCAGCTGGAGAACTTTGTGCACCTTTCGATTGTTGAGCGTTCCATTTTCTTAAATGCGATTGCTTCGTGCCTCAAAGACACTGGCCTTTCTGAAAAAGCGCTTGTCGCTCGACAGGACGAAGCCTTGCAGAAGGGTAGGCGAACTTGGCAGAGCATGCCGGATGCTTCGAACGAGATAGAGTTCAACTGTGCCCTCGGGAGTGCCTGGAATCTATGTGCCTCTGCAGGGTCCGAGGCAGCTTGTGACTGGGCGACAATCTTGCACGAGTGGTCGTGCTCCCAACCGCATGCAAAAAACATTGTCACCTATGCATCCTTCCTGACGTTGCTCGAGAGCCGTGGATACCAGGAGCGCGTGGACGAATTATTGGACAAGATGGTTCAGCAGGAAAAGCTGTCTTTGAACGAGGTTCTTCTTGGCAGTCTTGTGAATGCAGCTGGCGGTGCTTTCGACTGGCAGCGTGCCGAGCGACTCTGGCAGATATTTGTGACCGAACATGGTGTGAGGCCCAACGTGATCTGCTACACGGCGCTTGCAAAAATCCACACCTTGTCCGGAAGACCCCGTGCTGCCCTTGAAAGCCTGAATGGTATGCTTAAGGCGGGAGTCGGGGCCAGCGATGCCCAAGCGGCCTTGTGCTACCTCCAGGTCTTTCTGATCTGTTGCCATTCTGAGCCAACAGAGTCAAGCCTCGCTCGACTCATGGAGAGCCTAACTTGGGGCGAGTCTACCATGGCTGCAGGCACAAGGCAGATACAAAAGGATTGGGAGCACCTGGCGGCCTTGGCTGAGCGGCTTTGCCGAGACAAAAGCTCGCTGCAGTTCCACCAACTTCTTGTCCAAGAAAATGCCCGGAAGAGCAAGATGAAGGATTGGCAGAACTATCCAGCGGGCTCAAAGTACTTGCGCGACGTCCCCGAGCAAAAACATCTCATACGGGATCCGTTTTTCTTGCCGTTCGTCTGGTTGGCTCTCAGGACTTTAACTTATTGGGTTGCTACATGAACCATAATAAGAAGGTTAAAAGAACTTTTAGGACGGGTTCAGAAGTCAGCCAAGTTTTGATGTGCCCAATGCAATCCAGAGTTTGGGTGAACTTCCGAGCCTTTCCCAGCCTGCTCCCATCGCTAGCCGCCGTTGTTCGGTCGAGCGTCCGTGTCGCTCCAGGTGCCACGGCACTGGAAGAGATCTCGGTTGGCGATGTCTTCGAAGGCCAGCTGGATGTCCTGTGCCAGAGGGTAGATTAATGCCCTTCAACGCGCAGGCCAAGTTACCAATGTGAGCGTGTACGGTGTCTTTGTTGATGTGGGCGCAGCACCTCGGCAATCGTACGAAGCCGAAGATGTGTACATTTTCCAATATCTTGCTCTGGGCAGTAAGCGAACCTCGCGGTGAACAATGGAGGGTGATCCCGTAGCCTAAATCGGATCCGGCCAATCCCAAATTGAGCGAACGCCGAGGTGAGAGATGCCCGCCTGAACATCCCCGCTGCCATTGGGCGAAGGTTTAGCATCGGCGACGCCGTCCCTGACACACGGCCTCGCAATTTGAGAGAGCGAGAGAGAGAGAGAGAGAGAGAGAGAGAGAGAGAGATGTTGCGTGAGCACAAAACAATAGTAACTCGAGTATGTGTCAGCAGCCAAACCAGGGGGACTCACAGACCTCACATGATAAACATACTTGGTTCCTGCAATGTGAGCACAACCCTGGCAGCTCTCACATCTCAAAGCCCCAACACACAAGGGGAGGGCCAAGGGGCCGGGTGATCTTGCACATTCCCCTTAAGCCTTAACGAAGAAGAAGAGAAGAAGAGAGTTGGAGAGAGAAAGGGAGCGGGCAAAAATGTCATCCGCCTTGACCTAACATCAGGAATGCGTGATCGAGACCGTGGACCTCGAACAGCAGCGCATGTCTGCCAGTCTTCCGGATGCCGAGGTGTCTGCGGAAGTTCGGATGTTGTTTCATGGCTTTGTCTACGATTAGGCTCGCCAAGGTTACCTGCTATGGGTCCTTATAGGTAAGTGAACTCATCAAGTGCAGCGTGGGGTTGCCAGACAAATACCGACACACAAGTTTCTGTGCTGCTTAGCATTTGCACCTGATCCAGGCTGTGGTTAGAGACCTTCCGCCAAAGGCGCAGAGTGAGAGAGAGGGATCTGCGCTGCTTGCCGGCCGGTGAGTGCATAGCGATGCGGCTCCGCTGTCTTCCAGGAGCGAGCACCGCGTCCTGCCACCAAGGCCCAGGCCAGGCGTACTCACTTACAGTTAGTCTTTGCATGCGCTGCTCAAGTCTCAGAGTCACTTCTCTTCTTTTTCTGTTTTCTCTCTCTCTCTCTCTCTCTTTGCTTTTTCGCCAGGCGAAGCCCAAGCCCAAGGCCGCCGCAGCTCAGCGGGCGCAGTCGCCACGGCCGCAGGCGAAGACTCAGCCCAAGGCAGGGGGGCGTGGCAGGGAGATGACGTTCGTAGCAAGAGCTGTTCAACCAGCCGAGCCTGCATCATAGTGTTTAGAAGTCGCTTTCTTTTTGACAAGCATGGTGTCTTCTCAGAACCACCGACACCGTGGCTGCAAGGCGAAAGCGAAAGGGGCTGGCAAGGCCCGGCAGTCTGCAGTCTGCAGCAGCGTCGTCCCATCTTCAAACCAAGCCTCATGGAATTGCGACCGTGCGGAGGGCCGTGTTGTGGGACTCTTTGGGTTGGCTGGACTCGGCCGTTTCTCCTTGCTGACCGTGTTCCCGCCAGTGGGATCGACTCGCAAGGCACCTATGCACTCCCAGCAGGCTGCCTGTGTCCTAGCTGGTAAATGAAGGTCGTCCGCATCAGCTTCTGTTGATCGTGCAATACAGCCGCTTGAATCATGGAACGGGCCTGTTGTGGACTATATCGTGCATTTTCCAGAGAGGTTCTGCCGCGAGAATGCACCGCTATGCGAGGGGAAGGACGTTTCAAGGTCAGCTTGAACGGCAGCCCGTGGATGCCGATCGATGCAAGAAGTCCAAACTCGTGCGTGTGCCGGGGATGTTGGCCACGCGTGTGGCAGCCGTACTGTGTGTGGCATGTTTTCTGCGAGCACCGGCCTGAGACAAGAAGACTCCGAAGCTGACCGGCGGCTTTGCACCTGGTTCCAGGCAGCAGATGAGAGAGACCTGGAAATGGAGCGCCTGCGAAAGGACGCTGGGAAAGGGCATAGGCCATAGGGCCATAGGCTTAGGCATCAGGGTCGTCATGAGGCGGTTCGGTCGATACTAATTGTGCTTGCCTCACCCTCCCACCGGTTACCAGCCCCGTTCAATTTGAACCCTGAACCGTGAAACGGACACATCCGGACAGGAGCTCGAGGCGATGAAGGCAGGGACTTCGCCCAAAGGGGTGTGCATCGGTGAAGGGGACTGCCAGAAAATTGGCCATATAATATGGCCATATCATATCATGCCATACTGTATCTGTCCTTCCAGTGCGATCAGGCTGCCATGCGCGGCATGCCGATGAAGGAGCTCTCGACCTGCGTCGATTCGCTCGCTGAACTTCTTTCATCTTAGTTCCGCATCAAACTGGAAGGAGCAGGGAAGGGCGCCAAAAGCTGCCGCGCAGCCGGCGCGGGCATCGCCGAAGGCCGGCATGATTGCGCAGCAGACCGATCCAGATCGATGTTGATTCAGACGTCAGCTTTGCTTCATCCTTTCCTGGTTGGCAAAGTCTCAGGCCGCCGCCAGATCGCAATCACCAAAGCCCAAAGCAGCGCCCAAGGGTACGGCCAAAGCGGCGCCCAAGGCTACGCCAAAGGTGGCAACGGCGAAGGCGACGCCGAAGGCCTTGCGAGAACGGGGTCTGTGACTGTTAAAGAAGCGCAGCACTTAGAATCCGCACTGCATTCCGAGCAACCCTCAATTGAGGCTGTCGCAGCACAGAGAGTTTTTAATGAAAATGGCTAGAATGGCTAGAAACAGTCACCATTAGATGTATGAAAAGCACGGGTGACAGATGCGACAAGGCGAAGTCTGCTACGGCGAAGGCGCGCTCCGCATCGCCAGCGCCTGCAGGGCGGCGTGCGGAAGAAGGCCTCGCAAAAAGACCAAGCGAGAGCTTTCATCATGTGGCTCCATTTCGTCGTGCAGCCATCAAGTCACTGTTACTAAGTCTCTAGTCCCTGCTCAAGCTCTCATTGCTCCGTCCGCATGCAGGGATTCCCATCGAGAAGCTCCGGGTTGGTGCCAGCGTGGATGGCATAGTCACCAACAAGAACCAGCCGCCGGGCCTGAGAGCACTAACTGAGCACTAGTACTGTAGGATCAGTAGGATCGCCGAAACGACGAAGAGTGGTGCCCCTCACAGCCTGTTTCTGGGTTTAGGTACGGCGTCTTCGTGAACATTGGCTGCTCCAAAGACGCTCGCCTCAGCGTCTCCAAGGACTTGGCCAAGGCAGGGCTCCCCCAGCTCCCCGCTTCGCTGCTCCTCGCTTCGCACGTCGCGTCGCTCGTCGCTGAGAGGATATGCGGAAGGGCGACGAGATCTATGGCATGCTCATCGAGTCTGTTGCCGGCAGACTGCACTACGGCTAAGCGCCCTTGGCGAGAAGAGACTCACGCTGTTGCTGAGGATGTGGAAAAGAACCAGATCTCTTGCTTCTTGGAGGACACTGCCGGAAGGCCAGAATTCCTAGGTCTCAGAGCTGGCTGACGGCTTGAGGACCCGGAGCTCTACGTGGAGGAGGAGGCACCACCTCCTCGAAGGCCGCCCCGGCGATGAGCCACAGGCATCCGTTGTTTGTGCACCAACCGCAGCCGCAAAGCTGCAGCGGTCAGCTGTGCGGCAGAGTGTTGGGTGCACCTCGCCTAGCTGGCGGCGATTCAAAAGAGCAAAAACATCAAGGCAAGAAGAGCCCAGCAAGCGATCTACCAGTTCAACAGTTCAACATGGCCGGAACGACACTCGCTTCGGATCCCATGGTTCGTGCAAAGAGCTCATCCGGGCTGAGCTTTGGAGTGAAATGGATCGCTGGCTGACCGATAAGTTGGTGTTGTAAGCTTAGGGCAAAAGGAAGCAGCTGGGCGAGATTAAGGCTGTCTTTCAATGCTTCGCGTTAACAGAAGGCAGCTAGTCAGCTAGTCCGAGCAAGACAGGATGCGTTTCAGAAAAATGCACATCACCTGATTGTCCGGGATCTGCCCCGCCTTGCACCAGCCATATCAAGCCATGTACGCAGTGCGGAGGTCTTGGACGATTGGGTTGACAAGTAGTGGGGGCTCGCAATGGCGTCCACGAGTCCCAAGAAAGTGAACTCTTGTCGCTAGTTACCGATGTTGGAAGTCAAATCGAACCACTCTACGCACTGAAGTCGTATTCTAAACTTTCTGAACTACACATATTATGGGAAAGGATGTGTGGAGGGCATTGCAGCTGGAGATCCTCGTACAACGCATGAGATGTATTGTGTACTACCGATTACATTTTCAACACTGGTCGGAAGACACGTGGGACCCGCGCCTGGCTTCAACAGGCATGCAGATCGTATCGACTGAGCACGCGATCCCACGAGTCCTCCTAACACTTTCGTGTAGAATGCTGTCATCCCCGTTTGAAAAAGGCGGCGCCTGCCCACATCTGCGCAATGTGTCTGCATGTCTTGCTTCAAGTCAGTATGATGGATAGGCTCCTCGCCGGCGACCTTTCATTGTATTGGCCGTCGGCGAGCTTTCCGGCGAAGTGGTGAAGGATCCTGTGCCGCATCCGCTTGGGCGGTGTCAGTTCCAGGGATATGTTTCCGTGGTTGCTTGCAGCCTCGAGATTCCCCAAGAGGAGTTGACGATGCACGGCTTGGAGGTGCGCGACGTGGCTGAGATGAACCAGCCCAGCTCTTGGCACCAACCTTTCTCCTAGCGAGAGCGTGTGCCAGTGATCCTGCTGAGTTGCGAGCTGAGGAGCCTACCGGCACTTGAGAAGCTGCTGCCCCCAGCCAGGCAGATTCTGCTGCAGCACCCTGTCGGATCAAATTCTGCAGAGCTTTCGGAGGCAGGGTGCCGGAGCCTGGTTCCAAGAGAGAGGCCCAGGGGTTTCTTGGTTTCGGCAGTCTTATCTCTCTCTGGGGGACATGCTTTGCGCCCTGAGGGCTGTCGCCAAGCTTTCCCCAGCTCGCTGCCTGGGCCCTGCCCTTTGACCGGGCCCGGGGCCCGGTGCCCGGCTTTGTCCTTGTTCTTCTGCCAATTTCTTGGTTTGGAAGGTTGTGATTCTCGACGTGCGAAGCCCAGTGGAAGCCCAGTGTGCTCTGCAGAAAGGCCTACAAAGGGAAGATGTGTGAGCAGTCCGGGTGCCTGGAGGCAGACACACTGGTCCTGGAGAGCTGCGATGACACTTACCTGCACACCTGCTCCGTGTGCTCCGCCGGGCCAAGGGTTTCTATCTCCACCTCGCCGCCTCGCATTGAGGAGCTTTTCGATTTGGGCGCCGTCTCGGTGGCCTCCGGCTATGAGATGCACCAGGACTCATACCGTCATACGCAAAAGAAGGTTCCTGTGAGATGCTACGCAGGTAGTATCTCAGACTCCCCTTTTTCCCCGAGGAGCAACTTGATCTTTCTCGGCATGATGGAAGACGGGAGCCCAAGTTCAACTGTTCAAGGAAGGAGCATCTTAATTTTAACGCTACGCCGCCCGCCTCGGCTGTGTAGCGGCAGGGCGAGGGGGCAGTCGATGTTTTTTAATGCTAGGGCGGCCTGTCAAACCCCAACCTTTACACGGTTGTTGATACGAGGAGAACGGGTACAAGCGGGTGGGGGGGGAGGGAGGGGGGAGGGGGGGGGAGGGGGGGGGAGGGGGGGGGTGAAACCATAAACCTCTAAAGGGGTAGCTCTAACAGGTACCTACAGCAATGGCTGCATGCTCATACATATACATTCCGCTGCCCATTGGCTCACAGTGGTTTTACCATATTGAGACAAGACAAGCTCTCCTTGCGTAGCAAGACAAAACAACTACTGTCCGTGTGCAGGGCGCTGCCCTTTGATCCTTAGGGAATAACTGGTCATACACCTCCTAACAAGGAGTATTCCTTGTGGGTGTATAGGCACAGTTTTCTGGTAGCGGAGCCCGGAAAGGGCCGCCCGCCTCACAAAGTCCGCTACAGCGGTCGGCCTCGCCGAACGCTTGACCAAGCGGATAAGAGGCAGCACAATGTCGAGCTCGCATAGCGAAGCCGACGGCAGTTCCCAATCCTCCGGGGGATATGAGAACGAAGAGACCTCCCAAGGTCCAGCCACTTATGTCGCACAGTCATTTGCAACATCTGACCGCATGCTTGCATCATTAGGCATAACGCCCAAGATCGCGCCTGCCTATGATGGCACCACTTCGTGGTTTGAGTATGAACAGTTGATTGACGACTGGTGCGACATAACAACGCTGGATGACACCAAAAGAGGTCCGTCTCTCAAGACGAGGCTCTCCGGATTGGCCGCAGTACAAAAAGAATCACTTAACCGAGAAAGGCTTGCAGCCCCAGATGGAGTAGATTACTTCAAGAAGAAGATGCGTCCATTTTTCGTGAAAGGAGAACAGTACGTTTTCCTGTGGCGTTTCCTCGGCCTATTCAAGGCATGGAAGGGCAACCAAGACTTTGTGACTTGGATTGCTAAGTTTGAGATCGTGCTACAGCGCGTGAAAAACTCATGGATGGATCTCTTACCAGAGATAGCTCTGGAAGATGCCCATCCAGATTTCATGCAAGCTGTGCAGGCAGACCGAACCTTCCTGGGCCTACAGGAAGCAGCCGAGAGAGACACATACGCCGCACGCTATTTCGAAACATGGAACAAGGAACGCCTTGATAATCATCGAAGAGCGTTTCCTCTGAATGATAATCTCCTAGCTCTTCTCTTCCTAGTGCAGTCCGACCTAAATGAGATGCAACGTGAGAGGTTGGTAACAGCATTGACCAACCAAGGTCACCGAATTGAGACCTATACGTACCCTGTGGTACGGCAGACCATGTTCGATCAGTTCTCAACGACCAGAACTGGTCTGCAGGATCCCAACATTCGGCACTCTTCTCACAAGAAGGACCGCCATGGAAGGAGAGACCAACGCCGCAAACGCGGAGGTCGAAACTTCCTCATCCTCGATCAGGGTGAATACGACGGAGTCGATGGATTCTGGCTCCAAGACGAAGACACCCTTGAGGAAGGCTTTCTTGCCGCCGAGGATGAAGAAGCTGTCTTCTGGACAGTTGACGACCATGAAGCCTTCGTTGCAAGGAGATTCAAAAAGGGAAGAAGACCAAGAATGCGTCCCGGATCACCGGGAAGAGCAAAGGGTGGCAAGCGAAAAGGACGTGGCCGTTTTAGGTCATACCGCGGAAAAGGGAGAGCCAACCAGGCAGAACATGATCCAACTGATTCCAGCTATTTCGGTAAAGGTAAAGGAAAGGAAAAAGGAAAAGGTGGAAAAGGCAAAGGAAAAGGAAAGGACAAAGGAGATAAAGGAAGCTCCTTCAAGGGCTCAAAAGCAAAAGGCAAAGGTAAGGATACAGCTAAGTCTGCCTCCTTACAAGGAGACCAAACTGGATCTCCACAGGCCTATGAAAGTTCCACCGCACCGAGCTGGGATTCATGGTATGAGGACAGTTATTATACTGACTCCAGTTGGAATTATGCCGCTTATGACGATCAAACGTCTTATACATACTATGCATCACAAGCCTCAAGAAGAAAAACACGGAGAAAGAAGAGAAGAAATCAAGCAGGATCATCAGGTAGAGGCACAGATCCGAGCGCGCACCAAGAACCCGTGTTCAACTCATCAGTGAGTTACGTGCCCCAGGTCTCTGAACCATCCGAGGGGCAAGGTGTGGAGACTGCAACAGCAGTGTTTCCGTTGCAGCACACCGTCCTATCTGCTCTCACAGAGCGGATCAATCTTGATAAGAGCCCTACCTTTGTCATACTTGACTCTGGTTGTACTAGGGCTATGGGTTCCCGCTATGCGGTGAACAGGCTTATCAAGGCCGTGAAGCAACATGCCCCAGGCATGATTGATTTCACTTTTTCACCTTCGAACACGAAGTTCTCTTTCGCAGATAGTGAAACAGCTCTTATCAAGGAGCGTGTAACTCTATGGTTCAACACAACTCCAAGAAGAGATACAACCATAGAAGTTTTGGATCAGGGGAGAGTCCCCATTTTGTTTTCCATCGAACAGATGAGGAATTTAAGAATGACCCTCGAGTGTAGTCCCACAGCTGACCTAGCAACGTGTGAAGCTTTCGGTTTGTATAAAACCCCTCTTCCGATTAGTACCAATAACCATTTGGTATTGGACCTTCTAGGCTTCACTTCCACCAGGAAGTATCTCCCTAAGTCAGGTACGTCGTTCAGTGCGACGGAGACTGCTCTAGGAGCCAAGAAGCCTTATACTAGGATACCGGAAGGTCGCTGTCCAGCCTGTGCCGGACAGAAAAGGGCTCACACGTACCTCAAGGGTTGCGACAAAGCACCTGAGGGAGCAGCTGATCCACCACCGAAGAGGATTTCAGGTAAGAGAAGCCTCTGATCCCGGATCCGGCAGAATCATCTGCCAAGAAACTTGATCCACCAGAACCATCTGGTGATGCTCCTGAGCCTTCCGGACCATCGGAACCATCATCAGGCTCTAGGGACAAACCTGCAGAATCCTCTGCACCACATGAACCTCCAGAAGAAGAAAGACTTGAGGTCCCACCTGCGAAGATAAAGACTCCAAAGGGTCTTAAAAACCTTCTGAAGAAATCCCGCAAATATGCGGTTAAACCTCCTGTTGAAGAGAAGTCTAAGGTCCCAGGAGCTGATGACGGGACGGAGGTAAGACCACTTGAGTCAAGAGAATACCCGGCTCCTGGTACAGACTCACCTACAGGTGAAGAGATTGTCGCAGAACCATCGCCATCTCTTCCCATTGCTCTTCGCAGGATTCATGAGAAGCTTAAGGACCCTGTAGAACTCTATAAGCTTCACCTTAAGCACCGTCATATGAGTACGGATCAGTTCAAGCGACGCACAAAAGCCTTACAGATCCCAAAGGAGATATACGAGCTATATGACCAACTGGTCAAAAAGTGTTCAGCCTGCCAGGAACATGTGAGAGCTCCTTCAAGAGCGAAGATTTCTGGTTTAAGATCAGAGACTTTCGGTGATCTCACCTTCGTAGATCACGGTGAGCTTCCAATTCCCGGCAAGGATAGTCGCTTAGTATTTCTTATTCTCTATGATGGAGCAACAAACTTGTTGACTGCCGAAGTAGTCCAGGATAAAGAAGAACATACTACAATGTCGATTATGAATGACTACTTTGAGAAATTTCAGATCAACCCAAAGGTTGTAGTTGGAGATCAAGCATTCATGACTCCAAAAATGGAGGCTTATTACAATCGGCAGAATATCAAGCCTGTGGCAACAGGACCTGGAACACCATGGCCCAACAGGGCCGAAGCTGCTGTAAGATTGCTGAAGCATCAGATTAAGCTCATACTTCAGATCCTGAAGGATGGTGACCCGCAGTATAACGGAATCACCATGAAGTATGGCAACCTCGTTCGCCAAGCATGTTTGGCAAGAAACTCTTCGATTACCTACGGAGGAGTTACTCCTTTAGAAATGGCCTTTGGAAGGCGTCCTCGAGATGTTATAACACCAGAGAACGCTGATCCCAATCAGTTGACAGGTAATCCAACTGATACGGAAGTCACTGCGAGAGCCATTAAGGAGCTTGCCAACAGGGCTTACCAAGAGGCACGCCAATCTGATGATCTGCGTAGAGATCTTGCAGCCAGACTGTCAATGACCCAAGGACCTTTCTCTTTGGGAGATAAGGTTTTCTACTGGTCAGAAGATAAGTCTAAGATTGGATCCACTGGGTCCAAACATGGATCTTGGCTAAAAGGAAAGGTGATCTCCGAACTCGGAGGATCCATGGTAGGTGTGGATCTTGGAACACGCATCGTCCGCGTCAATATCTCAAAACTGAGGAAAAATTATGACATAACATCTGATGTGGAGATTCCTCTCGCGCCTGATGAGGAAACTCTGACGTCAGAAGGTTCTGACCACGCAAGTTGCATGGTCACCTTCGATGCTTCCCTGCAGTCGACAGACCTAACGGTTCCACATCAAGAGTGTCACTGGCAGGTCACCAGCACTGGGAAGATTGACTTCCTAGAACTCTACGGCGGATCTCCCCGCATGAGTCACAAAGCTGCCCTGTCAGGTCTGCGAGTAGGTCAGCCAGTCGATTTGCGTAGCGGTCTAGATCTTGAGCAACCGCAAGGTCGCTCCAATCTTCTTAGGATCATCAAGGAACAAGAACCTACTATTATTGTTATGTCACCGGACCATTCTCAGTGGTCTAGCTGGTACTCACAGTGGAAGAAAGGCTCTGCCAAGAGACTTTCTGTTTTAAAATTCTGTGAATCGGTCGCAGACCACCAAATGAAGCTCGGACGTTACTTTGTTCTTGAGAACCCATACTACAGCAGGCTCTGGTCTTCACCAGAAGCAAAACGCCTGTTTTCTAACCATAAGATCAGCTATGAGGTCTGTAACCTACAAGCCTATGGCATGAAAGAT